AATTCAGAAAAGAAACACATGGGCATTGCCTAGTATGGAGCACTACTCTTTTAGCATTTGCTAGTTTTGGTGCTCCACCACGCTTCTATCTATTTGAGGCGAATTTGCTGGCCGACGGTTTCATGTTGCCTCTAATATCGCATCCTCACCACAATTAGGGTTGGCAATAGATGCTATAAATACGTGCACATTTAGTTACATGGTGACTGCTGGCTCTAGCTAGATTCCATTCTTCGCAGCAAATATTCAAAATGTTCCTCAAGATTTGTTAGAAAATTTAGGGATAGATAGGGCACCTTTGGAAGGAAGCTATAGTCTTTTGACTCCATGCGTGGATATAGATGTAAGTACCACTCTATCTATGCTAGTTGTAAGTGATAAACATGCTTTATCATCATTGAAATGTAGCTGCTGGCCGGTATCATGGCTTCGTTCTGGGTGCTCTTGCCACAACTGATGGTCCAGAAGCTGCTACCTCAACATGAGTCAAGATAAAGTGCACTAATTACCCACTTGTGTTTGCATTATTCTCCTAGTCTTGAGATATTAAGGTTAATAAGTTCGTTATGATTTTTTTATGCTAGGATGTCTAAACAAAAGAAATTCCTTCCGATTAAAAGTGGCACATGATTTGATTAGGTAATGTGTTTAGCATCCATTTCACATTTAAATTATTCAGAGTTGGAGAATAAATGCCACCTAGTTCGTTCTTAACAAAGCCCTTCCTCAAAGGAAAGCGACTATAGCTAAGGTACTGGGTACACTCCATACAAACAGCATGTTACTTGCCTTGGCACACGTGTGGGACCCCAGTGCACAGTACGTACACGTGGCACATGCACCCAACGCTTATTATACTATAGTACTAAAATGATGAAAGTTTGTTTCATGATAAATAGTGTCCAGGATATATACACACACAAAGTGAACCTATACTAATCATTCCCCAGCATGTTAATCTCATGATTAAATTTGGCCACCACCCCACTTAGACACAAAGTGATCCAGGCCCAGGGAACTAAACCCCACCTATTGCATTCCAGAATCCAACACCCAAGGCGGGGAAAATATATTCATCTTCCACCAGGTGTTCTTTTACGTGAGTGGTGAATCTTCCTCTTGTGTTTCTTTTGGAAACTTGGGGTGGAGTGGATTCTCTAAGGCTCCGTTCATTTAGAGCAAATCCGGACCTGGAAGCATTCCGGCTGTGGAATGCTTATATAAACTTTAGTAATGAATCGGGCCGGGAATGGTTCCCGGGGGGTCAATCCTCAGGAACCGAACGGGGCCTAAAGCAGTTTCTAATAAAGCAGACTTGTTACAGGTTTGAATTAAGAAAAGAGGAAGACAAGAAACCAGAAATTCATAAAGGTTGAACTGAGAATCGTGTCTCCTTTTTTTGTTTCAAGTATATATGGAAGCACTTATGTTATGGTAATAACTAACTTGGTTTTAATTAAAATCCCATTTATACCAAAAGTTCTTTTGAGCCTTGTATGCCATAGTTGTTGCTCATCTATCCAGCCAAATTATGTTGTTGATGGGTTATATATGGAATGACACTTCAATTAATATGGTCCAGTTTGGCACATGCAGACTTGCTATCCTGTTTCTTTTTTTTTTCACAAATTAAACAGAAATTATATCAAATAGCATGATCCTATAGCAATTTATTAGTAAATAGAATCCAAGACTTTTCACTAGCGCTTCCAAAAAGCAAATTCCCACAATCACAAATTCACACCCAAATTTCAACCACTACACCTTTGTCTCCCATCCAAACCCTTGCGGGGCGCGCAATTCCTCTTTCCGCTCTTTCCCTGAAAAAATAGACTTGGCCTCACAAATCTTTTTTGTGCAAGACTTGAATGATCATGAAGACTAGATTTTATATATGTCATGATGGATGCACATGTTCTGGGTCTATTATTATTGTAGACATAGATAAAAATGTTGCATTGCATTTATTGGATAAACCACATGTCAGATCAGGGTTGAGAAAAATTGGGGAGACATGAACCAAAGGTTTGTGGAAAAATTCAAAATTGCATCTTCTCTCATTGAATGGAGCCTAGGTGTAGGAGGTGCCGAACTACCTCACAACAAGGTTAGATGTTTTTTAGTTTCGTGCACCCCTATAGTCCATACCTCCAATAGTTGTTTGAAAACACATGCATAATTTTTTTAGAGGGCATTTATCTCTAACAAACGATTAATATATAGGCTTATTTTTCAAATTTTCTATTTGTGTTTTCCTTCAAAAAACAAAATCCTAAATTTCTTAGACATCGCATTCTAAGAGATAAGAACATATCCCCTTTTGAAAACTTGGGTGGAAGAAAACTTGGGTGGAGTGGATTCTCCTACAGATTCTAGAGCAAAGTTGTTAATATGTTAGTCCAGGTGTAGTTTCTTGTGTTCCAATGGAGATTCCAATTCAAGAAAGGGCCGACATGACACTAGAAATTCACAAAGGTGAAACTGAGAACCAAGCTTTTTTCTTTCATATCTCTTTGTATGGAACACCTATTTTATCTTAGTGAAAGTAAAAACACTTATTTACTGCCATGTAACTCCATGTTTTATGGGTTTAACATAAGAACCTTGCATTTTTGTAGTTGTTGTCATGTATCAAGATTCAATCCAACAACGCACCACTACAGATCATGTTATGGTTGGTCACTTGTCATATTGGAGTATAATAGAGTTGTGGGAATCAAACTCTAGTGGACTGACGTCCACCCTTATCGGACATAGTCAAGTTTGGCACATGTTATTTCTCAGACTTTTTATATATCAAACAACAGTATTCTGCAGCAAATTATCAATAAACTGAATCCTAGGCTTTTCATTGGTGTTCCAAAAAGCAGATTTTGCCAATCACATAGAAATTAACCACGACTCCTTTATCTCCCAACCAAACACCTATGGCAGCACACACTTTATCTCTTCTCCGCCCCTCCCAGTAAAAATAGACCCTGACTTATTCTAGTGCAAAAAAGTTCTATTTTTTATGCTAGGATGTATAATAGAATATAGTTATTATTAGCTAATAGAAGTTTGAGTAATTAAAATCCCATTATATTAGTTAACTGATTTATTCTAACGTTCTATTTGTGTTTTCCTTTAAAATCAAGAGCCTAACTTTCTTAGACATCACATTCTAAGAGGTATGAACATATCCTTTTTGAAAAACTTGGGTGGAGTGGATTCTCTTACAGATTCTAGAGAGGAGTTGTTACTTTAGTCCATTGTAGTTTCTTGTGTTTCAATGGATAATCCAATTCAACAAATGGCCGACACAAAACCAGAAATTCACAAAGGTGAGACAGAGAATCAAGTTTTTTCTTTCATATCTCTATCTATGGAAACACTTATTTTATCTTAGTGAAAAAAGAAACACTTATTTACTGAAATGTAAAGGTTTTATGGGTTTAAATTTGAGTATTGCATTTTGTTGCTGCTGCCATGTATCAAGCCAATGACGTAGCAATACATATTATGATGTTGGTTGGTCTCATGTCATATTGGAGTATATAGAGTTGTAAGAATCAAACTCTAGTGGTCGACTGATGTCCACCCTTACCATACACGGTCCAATTTCACACTGTGCTTTTCCTTGGTTTTTCATAGATCATATGGTCGGATTCTACAGCAGTAATCCAGTAGATTGTCCATAAACAGAATCCAAGACTTTTCATTGGCTCTTCCAAAAAGCAGATTCTGACAATCACATTGAAATTAACCACCATCGCTTGTCTCCCAACCAAACACCCATGCCGGTGCCATGCACACTCCCTCTTTTCTTTTCTACCCCTCCCTATAAAAATAGACCTGGTCCTAGATAATTCTTTTCTAGTGCAAAAAAGGCATGAATTGCCACGGAGCAATTCTCGTTTGATTACTTTGAGAACAACTACAACAACTGGTCACATCCTTAAAAAACTCTTCCCCTCCCCTGCATCTGCATCGGGTCGGAGGAAGAGAGGAGGCGGCCATCACCATGTTATTCATCCTGCCCTACCACTACCATCAGTACCAGTAGTCTCCATCTCCCCTAATAGAACACGATATCCTCCCCCGAGAAGCGCTCGCTTCTTCTACTGCTGCTGCTTCGGCTGGTCAGAGGACCGCTGTGCTCCCATCCTATGCAAAAAGGTATATTTTTAAGCTAGGATGTATAATAGAATATAGTTATTATTAGTTAATAGAATTTTGAGTAATTAAAATCCCATTATATTAGTTAACTATTTTTTCTAATGTTCTATTTGCGTTTTCCTTTAAAATCAAAAGCCTAACTTTCTTAGACATCACACGTTCTAAGAGGTATGAACATATCCCTTTTGAAAACTTGGGTTGAGTGGATTCTCTTACATATTCTAGAGCGGAGTTGTTAACTTTAGTCCATTGTAGTTTCTTGTGTTTCAATGGAGAATCCAATTCAACAAATGGCCGACACCAAACTAGAAATTCACAAAAGTGAGACTGAGAATCAAGTTTTTTCTTTCATATCTCTATGTATGGAAACACTTGTTTTATCTTAATGAAAAAAGAAACATTTATTTACTGAAACGAAGTACATGGGACACTGTACTTTGAGTGCGTGTCCCTCCTCTTCTCGCTCTACTACTAGGACGACGCTGACCACTTGCGTGGTGGCCGCAATGTAGAGCAGGAGCGGTTCCCCATCGGTTGGGGGGGACCAGGATTGGGGCCTTCGTCAGGAGCTGCTTGATCTTGTCAAGTGCCTCCTGGGCCTCGAGTGTCCATTCGAAATGGTCGGCTTTCTTCTAAAGCCGATAGAGGGGGAGACCTCGTTCGTCGAGGCACTCTATAACTCGTTGTACCCCCTTTATGTTCTGAATCAGGCCCATCCTCATGATGGCTGAGATATTCTCTTGGTTGGCTTCGATGCTACGCTCGGAGATGATAAAACCCAGTAACATACCCCTTGGGACCTCGAAAACGCATTTCTCAGGGTTGAGTCTGAAGCCATTTGCTTAGAGTTTCGCGAAGGTCTGCTCTAGGTCGGCTATGAGCTGGTCAGCCCATTTGGACTTGACCATGATGTCGTCTATGTAGGCCTCAATGGTTCGCCCGATGAGGTCCCCGAAACACTTGAGGATACAACGCTGATATGTGGCTCTCGTGTTTTTCAGACCGAACGGCATAGTGACATAGCAGAACGATCCGAACGGGGTGATGAAAGACGTCGTGAGTTGGCCAGACTCTTTCATCGCGATTTGATGATATCTGGAGTACGCATCAAGGAAGCAAAGGGTTTCGCATCCTAAGGTCGAGTCGACTACTTGATCTATGCGTGGTAAAGGAAACGGATCCTTTGGACACGCTTTGTTGTGACCTGTGTAATCAACACACATTCTCCATTTCCCACTCTTTTTTCTTACAAGAACAGGATTGGCTAACCACTCAGGGTGATACACTTTGTTGATGAATCCAGCCGCCAAAAGCTTCACAATCTCCTCATCGATGGCCCTACGCTTCTCCTCGTCAAAGCGACGTAGGCGCTGCTTCACTGGCTTGGAGCATGGCCTGATCTTCAAGACATGCTCGGTGACTTCTCTTAGAATGCCTGGCATGTCCGAGGGTCTCCATGCAAAGATGTCTCTGTTGATGCGGAGGAAGTCGACGAGTGCGCTTTCCTATTTAGAGGAAAGCGTGGTGCTGATGCGCACCACTTTGCCCTCGGAGCTGCTGGGGTCTATGAGGACATCCTTGGGGTCGAGGTTTCCTTCAACGGGGTTCTCCCTGATGGCCATGAGCTCTTCGGAGGCAACAATCGCCATGGTGTGTTCACAACACTCGACCTCGCACTCGTAGGCACGTTGGAAGGAGGTGCCGACGGTGATGACCCCGCGCGGACCCGGCATCTTCAACTTCAGATAGGTGTAGTTGGGGATGGCCATGAACTTCGCATAGCATGGACGTCCCAGGATGGTGTGGTAGGTCTCGTGGAACCCGACCACCTAGAAGGTAACGGTCTCCATCCTGTAATTGGTCAGATTCCCGAAGGTGACAGGCAGATCGATCTGCCCGAGCGGCATGGCCTGCTTTCTAGGAACGATGCCTTAGAAAGGCACCCTGGTTGACCGGATGCGCGATCGGTCGGTGCCCATGGCGTCGAGCGTCACAGCATACATGATGTTGAGGCCGCTACCTTCATCCATCATCACCTTGGTGAGCCGCTTCATGCCGACGATCGGGTTGACCACGAGCGGGTATCCTCCCGGCTGTGGGACGCTTTTCGGGTGGTCGATCCAATCAAAGGCATGGCCAGCTCGGCTGCATAGACCTCACGGTGCGCAAGCTTCTAGCGGCGCTTGTAGTCGTAGGCCGTCGACCCCCCGAAGATCATGAGGCAGCCATCCAATGTTGGAAAGCCACCGTCCTTCCCCTTGGCATCATCTGCCGCCAACTTGGGATCCTTGCTATGCTCCCCCTTATTGGAGCCACCGGACAGGAATCGCTTTATGAGGGCGCAATCTTTGTATAGGTGCTTGACGGGAAAGGTATGGTTCGGGCATGGCCCTTCGAGCAGCTTCTTGAACTGGTTTGGGTACCCTCGGTAGGCTTTTGACCCCCCTTGTGGTCGGTAGTGGCCACGAGTGAGCCCTCGCGCCGCTGCTTGTTCTTCTTCTTGTTGGGGCGGTTGGAGGCGCCTTCGCTGGCGTTCTCGTCCCGCTTTGCCTTGCCCTTGGGACGGTCAAAAATCACTTTAACCGCCTCTTCGCCCGAGGCATGGCTGGTAGTGATGTTGAAGAGCTACTTGGTGGTTCGCAGGCCCTTGTGTCCCAGCTTATGAACTAGGGACTCACAGGTGGTCCCAGACAGGAAGGCTCCTATAACGTCGGCATCGGCGACGTCGGGCAGCTCGTTGCACTACCGGGAGAAGCGCCGGATGTACTCATGAAGAGTTTTCCTAGACTTATGTCGGTAGTTTTTAAGATCTCATGGGTTCTCAGAACGCATGCAGATGCCCTGGAAGTTTCCAACAAAAATTTCCTTTAGGTCCGCCCAACTTTGAATCCGGTTGGGCGGAAGGTGCTCCAACCATGTTCGTGTCGAATCGGCCAGGAACAATGGGAGGTTGCGGATAATGAAACTATCACTATCCGCTCCATTAGATTGGTAGGCAAGCCAATAATCCTCGAGCTACAATCTGGGGTTCGTTTCCCCAGAGTATTTTAGGATGTTGGTCAGCGATCGGTACCACGGTGGGAAGGCGGCGTTGAGGATGTGTCGGCCGAAGGCCTGAGGTCCTGGCAGGTCGGTGTAACACCCCTGGTGTTATGAGCTTGCTTAGCGCTGAGATTTAGGTCCGAGAGGAATTAGACAAATAAGTTAAGTCGGCAAACACTTGAACTATTGTGTAAAATACCATTTTTAGCGAATTACATTGAGCAAAATAATTAAATGGTGCTTAAATATTTTGCTCCTATGTGTTAGAATAAGGTATGGACTATTGCATTAAATACTTGTTGGTAGCAGTTAATAGGGTTTAGGCCTTTTAAAAATTATAACAAAAGTGTTAATGGTTGTTAGTTTGAATTGAACCTTTTCTAAGTTTGGGAAAAGTAGTAAGACAATGCTATCTTGATATTTAAATTCTAGCTAAAATATTGAAACACTAGCTGCATGCTTTGGTATTGTTGATTGCATCAAAGTGAGTACTTAAGCATGGCATAGGTGGTTGTTATGTTGGGTGTCACGTGGCTCTCAGGAAAATTCCCCAAACTTCGTTGGAACGCTCTGTAAACCACGTTGTTGGCGCTTTGTTCGTGAACTGGCGTTCAGCGCGACGAGCTCAGGTTGGCATCCTCCTATCCCCCTCTCTAGTTGCTCTCTGGCCATGGCGATGGCTTTGCTAGGTTGCTGTTAAGGTTGACTGTAGGATAGGGGAATTAGATGGGCCGCACTTGTGATCGTTAGTAGTTTTCGCTTCGCTTTAAAATTCGTGCACGTCATGTGCCTAGCCCGTGGGCACGGTCACCTCGCGTGGCCGCTCGGCGTTGCGCGGCTGGCCGCATTCCACGCGTCGCAAAACCGAGCCCGGTTGGCCTGTCTGGCCGTGGCCGACCCTAGTAGGCCGCTGTCATCACCCTACAGCTGCTGGCCGGCGCGCTGCTGCCCCACCTCGCTGTCCGCCAAGCCAATGTCGTGGCAGCCTTCGTCGAGCCGATGTGGCACTCATTCCACCACTCAAATCACCAACTCGCCGAGCTGCTGCCTGCCTCCGTGGTCACGTCGCACTAATGTCGTGTCACGGTATCACTGCCCTCCCTCGTGTTGTTTTGTTGCATCGGCCCTGCGAGACGGCCACACACGCGATCGCTGCTTCACTGCCGCCGCCCGCATCTCGCCATGGCCGAGCAATCCCATCACAGCGCTCCACGACGCTCCCTCTGAGTCTTCCATGTGCGGACGCCTCACTTTATTACCGCAGCCTCGACCGAAGTAGGCACAGCCTCGAAGAGCTACCGCTCTCGCCTACCCTTGTCGCCGATAGAATCGCCCCGCTTCGCATGACAAATACGTGCGGTTTGGGGCACCCACCTCAATTTAGCATTCCAGAAGTTAAATAGGACAGCCAGCTAGCAGCCCGACCCTCACCTTGGTGCAACTGCTAATTTGGTGTTTTTCTCGCCACCGGCCAGGTACGCCGCCGTGCCAGTGAAATTGGGGTAAGGTCCGAATTTGTTCAATTGTTTATATCCATGAGCTCGCCATGACCTCCTCTATCTGGTGCTCACGCCATTTGCCCAGGACACTTACCGGAGACGTTGTGATGTATGGGTGTTCATCCCGGAGTACTGTCGCCCCGGCGGCTCGCACGTGGCCAGACCGTCGCAACGCTCCCCTGCTTCAACCGTCAGTAGGGCATGCACAACGGTGAGCCACTGATGCTTATCCATCACCTCTACTCTGCCGAGCGTATGTAGGTTCGTTGGAATAGGCGCGCCACCACCGTGGATAGCCGCTCGCCACTGCAGCTCGCGACAGTGCGCCTCCGAGTCATTAACCGCAACCTATCCTTGCATATTCAGCTGTAGATGGTGGTCGGCTCCTTACTTTCGTCGTAGCGAGCCTAATTTGCCCGGTGTAACTGCTTTATGCCGTTGGCCGTTGCGCCGGTGCGCGCGGGGTTTCCTGGGACCTTCCCGTGGTAAAGGTGACAACATCCAAGGGTTTGGTTGCAAGATTACCGACGGTAAGAATAGTGCGCATAGTGCCACATAATAAATTGATAGATCAAGGTCTTTTCTACAAAATAGCCAGCGCGCGAGGGATCCCGTGTTGGGCCGCTTGCTGGGCCAGCTTGCTTCGCGCGCCCACGTTTCGCGTTGGGCCAAGCCGGGCTGCTGGGACGAATGCTTGCCACCAGTCCTTTTTGTTTTCTAAAACATTTTCTAATTTAATTTCTAAGGTAAACTTATAAATTCAATATAAAATTATGTAGTTAACCAAAAATTGTGAAACTAATTTTGTTAGGTTCCTAAAATCATGATCTATCTGCTAATATATTTTGTTCACATAGTTTTATAATATTTTTAGGAGTTATCTAATTAATTTGAGATGTTTAATATTATAAGATATAAACTTGTAGGAATTTTTGTGATAAATTGGTGATAGTGTTGGCTGTAAAATTTCACAGAAAATTCATAACATTATTAGGTGCTTACTGTAATTTTTATAGCTCTATAATAATTAATTTGCTAAGGTAGCTAAATGAGTCCTAGTTTGAAAATATATATTTAATCAATAAAATACCGAAACACCTTGGGATTTTAAAACTAGAACATTTTCCAGGAAACAACGCCTTATTCGACAACATGGATACGTAGCCTAGCACATTAGTTATTAGAGCTATCTCGTTAGCTTGCGAGGCGTAATCGTATTTCTAAGAGTTTCAGTTGCCTTTGATTATTTATATCTCTGCGTTGCATCCACATATATCGTAATAGGAACAATAATGGATCGTGGAGATGATCAGAGTAGCGGAAAGGATGGTGCCTTGATGATCGTGTCACCGTGATGGAATGATAACTTTTGGTTATAACTTACCCAGGCAAGCCCCGGTGCATAACCCCTATTATTCTGCATTTTATTTTATGCTTGTGCATTAGGTTTTAAGAGTTGAATAAAACCACCTGTATATATATATATATCCTTATCCTATGAGTCCTGCTAGCATGTCAGGATTATGTAGATTGCTCTGCTATAGGACCTGGTAGAAGTCAAGTGATTACCTATCACTCGCGAGAGATAGGAAAGATATTATTGTTGTTATTATATTATTATCTCATAGAATATATATGAATGATAATTGTAGACCGGGCGGAATTGTACTTTGAATCTGGACTTGGTTAGGCATTCGAGCGAGGCTCGGATTGCACTTGTTCTGCCTGTGTCGATTGAGGACCATCCGTTGCTGTGGATTGTAGTAAGATTACAGACTTATTATCCTGAGCACATACTTGCTTATGGGAGCGGGAAGGCTCGTTATGCTCTTGTCGTGGGTTCTGACTCTTTCCGGACCAAGTGATTGGAGGCGGGAAAAGGTGAAGGTCTAAGCACCATGCTAAGATCGGGTCTCAAATATGGGGGCTTGAAGTTCAAGTTTGGACGGGGACCTGGACCCCTCGACAGGAGTGGAATGGGCCAGTCTTGTTTGTGCCTAGGGTACAAACGGGGCGTGTGTTTCGGGGTACCCAGCTGGGATACATTGATTCGCGAATAGTCATTTCTGTGAGACGGTACGACTTGGTTATGGTCTAGCACCATAGTAAGAACTGAAACTTGAAAGGCGATAAAATAGTTTTGATTGCTTACCACCTGCTTGAAAGTAGCATAGGTGCTTACATAGAATGGTTAGTTAATGAACTAATGACGACTGCTAATAAAATTAAATATAAGGACGTACGTTTAGTAATGCTTCTGCACATGCAATAACCCACAAGCCAAATAAGCCTTGTATATCCTTAGAGTCTTTTATTTTCCTCCTATCGGGTAAGTCTTGCTGAGTACAATCGAGTACTCAGGGTTTTATTCCCCCTGTTGTAGATGATCGGATGATACTTAGAGCTGAGTCTTATGTGTGGAAACCTTCTGGTGGCCTCAGAGAGGATTCCTTCACGCTACGACCATAGTGTTTATTTATAACCCTCACTAAAGGTTTTTATAAGAAAATATG